AATACTCTACACAACTACAAATTTAAATTGCTTTTTGACTACTTTAGATTTTCAGCATCCTCTGCTACACACCAAGGTTATTAGCAGTACTGCAGAATGCTCTAAATCTTAAATTCCCTGTGCAGCTCTGTAATTTCCAACATATCACATCTGTGACATGTTTTATTTTAGAAAAGTTCCAGCGCTGAATACGATAAAATCAAATTTTAAGCCAACAATTTCTGTTCAAAGGCCCTCATTTTTCTTTTACAGTGTTACTTATTGAATTCATTTACCAGTTTCCTAATCAGAGTCAATCAGCCAATTTAAAACATACAAGCTGGAAATTTATACTGAAATTTCTTCTGTTAAATTCCAATTGTATGTATGGCACACAGCTAATATGCAGTATAATCCAAGTGTACTATATCGAGTTTTGATCCCTGATAAACAAATTCCTTTTCATTTACTGATTCTTTCCAAGCTTCAGTTTGACTTCCTTAAATAGGAATTATATTGGCAGTCTTTTAATATACAATCTGCTTGTAAGTTACATTTTTGGATAACAAGACTGTGAAGTGCATGGATGTTTATATATTCCTGATAGGTAACAAATAAATATTTAATTCTCTTTCATGTTCCTTGGATCAGGATTGAAAACACTTACTGTTCTGGTTTATTAGGGCACCTAATGAGTGAAAATTATTTTGAAAGTTGTACAAAAAGCAATAAAAAAGTCTGGTTCTGATATCAAGAATGAATATTGATGATCTCATACAAAGTCTAATGTTAACTAAAAATACCATTACTTTTTCCATTCTCTGAAAGAAAATCAATTCCATATATGGTAAAAGTCAGCTTCCAGTAACTGTGATTCAGAGTGCCTTAATCATGTTATTGGAAATATGCCAAAAGATCTGAGGAATTTGTGGTTTTTGCTGGGATAAATTAGAATACCATGACTTGTAAAGGGTATAACATGTTAAACTTAAGCTCAGCCTGACTTTGAAAAGTTTCTCTGCAAGAGGTCAAAATGATACCTTTGCTTTGGGCATTTTTTTTCATTTAAGCTCTCTAATGGTTTCTGCGAGGTGGTAGGACTGGACTTATCCAAGAACTGCCCTGCATTTGGAACTGGAAACAAAAATCCAAACTTATACTGGTGATGCTGTGCTTGTCATTAGAACACTTTTTTAGGGGACAAGAAATCACTGGGGTAAATCTTGACCTTGAGCTATTGTATAAAACAGGATGAAAATGAATCAGCACTTTTCATATTATTGCTCTTTTCAAAATCAGGAATTGTGTTAACGAGCTGCCAACTTGCTCTAAAATGAGTAACATTATCATGCAAAATTGCTCTCTCACTAAGTCAAATACAACATATCTGTGGTAATGATTCTTTAGTGCTAATGATGCAACTAATGGAATGATCCAAAAGGTGAAACATTTGTTAATAAAACTGTGAAGTGTTGAAAACCATTATAAAATGGCCAACTTATTGAGCATGCAAACATCCAAATCTGGAGCAGGAGTAGGCTATTCAGCCCCTTGAGCCTGTTCCACCATTTAATAAGCTCATGCATTCTCTGATTGTGGCCATAACTCCACACTCTGACCTACCCCCAATAACATTTAACTACCTTGTTAGTCAAGACACTGCCTACATCTGCCTTAGAAATATTTAATGTTACTATCTCCACCACTCTCAGGGCAAGAGAAGCCCAAGGATCCTGTGATTGTTGCTTGGTATACTATTTAGTTCATAAAAACCAAAAGAACTGTGGATGCTGTAAATCAGAAACAAAAACAAAGCTGCTGGAAAAGCTCAGCAGGTCTGGCAGCATCTGTGGAGGACCAAACAGAGTTAACGTTTCGGGTCCGGGTTCTGAGGAAGGGTCACTGGACCCAAAACATTAACTCTGTTTTCTCCTCCACAGACGCTGCCAGACCTGCTGAGCTTTTCCAGCAGCTTTGTTTTTGTTCATGCTATTTAGTTTAGTTGACTTAGTTTGGTTGGTTTTCAAAGAAACAAAGAAGCCAACAAACCTCGTAGTTTGACTCAGAAAACATCACTAAAGCCCCAGTAACTGGGGAACTTTGTGGGAGGCCCAGCAAGACATGAATTTTTTTTGAAAAACAGCAAGTCATGAAGTACCAACATTGGATGTAGCTGGTGGGAAAAATTCACTACTGATATAGAGATATGTTATCAAAGTCATAAATAAGGTAGTCAAGATTAAAATATCAACAAATCTTGACTAAGAACTAGCATCAATAATTGTAACCATGAAACTGTCTAATTGTTACAGAAGCCAACCCAGTTCACTGCTGTCTTTGAGGAAAAGAAATCTGCTGTCCTTATCTACAGTGGTAGGTAAAGCTGCCACAAGCCTACTTGAACTACAGCTGCTCTCTCAGAGTGAGAGAACTGGTTGTGGTTTAACCTGAGGGTCATCACACCTCAGGTGAGAGGAGAGGCTGGAAAGAAGAGTCCTTCATGGTAACCTCAGCTGGTGTAGGAATTGAACCAAAGCTATTGGTATCATTCTGCATTGCGAGCCAGCAAACTGAGCTAACTGACCCTACTAGTGTGGTATGTATCTCATTCTAGACCTGCAGCACTGCAGTCGTCTCTTAATCCTCTGAAATCAACCAGCACGACATTCAGTTGTGTAGGAATAGGCAATAAATGCTGGCCTGCAGTGATACCCATTCTTATGACTAAACAAAAAAAAGTCAATATGCTAATTAACAATAAGTGCTACTTATGACAATGACATTTCCATTTGGGCATTGTAAAATTTACCCTTAATATTCAATCCCTCTTGAGTTGAACAAATATAATCCAGTGGTATATAAAGCAAAGCTGAAGACCATTAATAACCATCAGCTCTGTTTGTGATGTTCTGTATACAAAAAGACAACTGAAGAGAAAACATAACATGAGGTTCAAATTACAGTTGCTAATGGGTGAGCAGCAGTGGAGAATGAACAATACTTTCTGGTACAGGGTGGAATTCTAGCATACTAATTACCACCATGAGCTATGCAGGGAAATTCAAGGGCCTGGTTTCATGAGGAGACTAACACAACAAAATATGGCAGCCAGAAGTTCTTCCATGAAGTAATGGATGATGTTAAGATTCTAAGAGCTAAGAGTACAATACATTTTGCGGAGATGTGGAATATCACAGGAGTAACTATTTGACACTGATAGCAATGCCATCATGTAAACATCCAGCCATCTCTAGAGCACGTCAGCAAAAGTCCATCTGGTTCGGACGCAGGCCAACTAGAATTAGATATAGAAACAGGTAATAGTCCTTCTAATCCCACGCACGTTACCGATTGGTTACGGAATTATGTATAAATTCTATTCCATCAGTTAGATGAGTACTTAAGTCATTGTTTATGCTCAGATATGCAACATGAAGATCAAATAATACTTTAGGAGAAATCTACCAGGAAAACATATTAAATGCATATTAAATAAATATAAAATAAACTTAATTCTATTCATCACTTTTAATATATCTTATGGTTATTTGTGCATTGTTAGGAAAATAAAATGTCAGATGTCCAGAGTACAAAATATCCAAGTCTGCAATGTTCCATGTGGAAGTTTGAAAAATATCTGTGGTTTGAAGATTGGCTGTGATTTCAGGTCACATTGTTCAGATATAACCCCTTGGTGGGCATGCATTGTTCCACAATCTTGACCGCTATATTTTGATAATTTCTATGAGGAGTTGTGCATCCTTTATCTCTCCATTTTCTTAGCTACCCCATTTCCCCTTCCTCTCACTTCACAACAATATAACTACCAATAGCAAATATATTCACACTATTGGATAAAAACTGCCATAGTTTCATTCTAAAATATTTCTTTCCTCAACCTGGTTGAAAAATTTCAGCACTTATTATTTTCTTTGTTACTCTTGTTGTAAAAGTTATGATTTGTATTTTCCTATTCACTAATATTCATAAGCTTTCAAAAAAAGAACTCATAGGAAAGCCATTGGCCTTCATTAATTAAAATTTGCTCGACTTGTATGTGAACCCATGATCTACATGCTTTTACAGTATATATATATTCAAAGAATAACAAAAGTAAGGTAAAGGTAAGACTACAAGGAACTGAGAGAACTGAAAAAAGTTCACAAAATACCTCTTGCTTTATAGATAGGTTCTTGCTTAATAAAGGAATCAAGAGTTTCAGGGAGAAGGCAAGGGAATGGGGTTAAGAAACCTATCAGCCATGATCACGTATCACAGCAGACTCGATGGACTGAATGGCCAAATATCTGCTCCTATATCTTACGATCTTATCATTATTAATGCTCCAAGAGCAATATTGAGTAATATTTGAATATGTAATTGTAACCCAGGAAGGACAATTTCAGGAAATTATTTTCTTAGAAACTGATTATATAAATGCATACGAAAGAAATGAAAATTATAGTTAATAAGGAATAAGGGCTGTTTGTTTAAGCATATATCATCAAAAGGTCCCTGCTTACCAACAGAAAGAGATGACACGATCCCAGCATTTGAGCAAAGATTTGCATCTCAGTCAATGGTTCCCCTCTTAAGTTTAGTATTAGAATATTTTTCTAGCCACAGATTCACTCAATGGCCAATTACAAGGAGAAATTAAATGAAAAAGTACCACAAACCAGATGGTTTTAATCTTGCTGAGCTAAATTGCTTTGATGAACTTGAAGGTCAACTATCTGGAATGTAGCTGTTCATTTTCTGCTAAGTAGAAAAACAGAACAGTATATTTTTTCACTGAACATGGCTTAATATCGTGCAATTCTTTCTGTCAACTGAAAAGATTTTTAACTTATGTTTTAAAACATATGTTTAGAAAAGGCTAAATCTGCTGTATTGCAAAATTACAGACATACAATAAGCATTGTTATTCACAATTTAATCCATTGGCAGCTGCTTTAGTTTTCATGTGTGGTAAGTATTCAAAGGTTTTTTAGAACAAAAAGATATAAATGATATAATACCTCCATATATCAACGTGTTGCCAGCTGAAATTCAACATACATCTTACTGCACTGTAAAGATTTCATTTTTTTGAAGAAAGGATCTGACAAATGCTGATATAAGTTACTAATATACTCCACACCAGTTGATTGTTGCTAAGGTCCAATGATTGTAATCTTGAATAGCGTATCAGTTTCAGTCTAGTAATTTCAGCTATGAACGGTTACTCGAACTCAAAGTCTGATCTGTAACATAAGACGGGATCTACATGAAGTAATTAGATTTGCAGCTGGAAAACAGTACACTCGTGAAAAAAGTGACAAATGTAGGTAGGCATTCCTTTGCAGTACACTTACTAGTATAAGAAATTGTTTTTTTTTTCAATAAACCGTACAAGAGTTGTTAGGATTTACATTTCATCCAGTACTTTTCTGAACTACAATATAAAACATATTTGTAAAATGATTACTTTGTTGAGGAAATCGGTTATCAATTTTAAAAAAAGCAAATGTTGAATAGATGGATTTGAGAAAGTTACATACGTTAAAGTGCATGCTAATAGAGTTATGTAATTCCATGAATAGATAGATCGCAAGAGAGAGAAATTAAGAATAAGTGGATTTTTTTTTTGGTTTGTCAGATGCAAGCTATTGTAGTTGCTACTTATTTTCTTTTTGATTTATAAAAAACTGATTTGGACATACACATGAAAGCAGTGACATTGAAGTTTGCTGACAGTTCTTAATTAAGGAGCATGATGGAATAAAAAATTGAAAGACTTAGATTTACACCGCACCTTTCACAAACATAAGATGCCCCAAAACTGTTCACAGTCAAGAAAGTACTTCTGAAGCTCAAATGTAGAAAAAAAAGGTCAGCCAATTTGTGCAAAACAAACTCCCAGAAAGAGCAAAATGATAATAACCAGATAATCCACTTTTGATAAATATTGGAAAGAACATCAGAGATAATTTCTCTGTTCTTTGAAATTGTTCTGTGGAATCTTTTGTGTACAAAACCAGATGAACCATTGTTTAAAATCTCACGCAAAAGACAGCACCTTCAATAGGGCTGTGAGCCTTGATTTCTTTTGCTCAAGTCTTGTAGTGGGACTTCAGTGAGATGTGCTAGTATAATGGTATGGTCACTGAACAAATAACAGAACTCCAGGCTAATATTCTGAGGACATGAGTTTGAATCCCACAAATGCAGTGAAATTTGAATTCAATGAAAATCTGGAATTATAAGATCACCTAATGACAATTATGTAACCACTGTCAATTGTTGTAAAACCTCTCCGGCTCAGTAGTGGCCATTCAAGAAGGAAATCTATCATCCCTGCCTGGTCTGGCTGATATGTGACTCCAGACCCATAGAAATTTGCTTGACTCTTCCCTGCCCTCTCTGCAATTAGCGAAGAGCGTTAGATATTTGCCTAGCCAGTGACACCCACATCTCATGAACAAATGAAAAAGGTAAAACTATATGACTTTCTGACTTAGAATTAATATGCTACCAATTGAGATATATAAGGAAGTAGGTAGGAGATCACAGACAGATATAGACAAGGTAGGAGGATGGGCAAATAGGTTGGTGAAGCAGAGAATTATGAAGTTAGACAAAAAAAGGGAATGTATTACAAATGAGACAATTTTTTAATAGAGTGGTGAGAATTTGGGATGCAGACTTGACTAAAAGCCTGGAATACTGGTAGACAATGGTCATGAAAAGAGAGATTATGGATTTTTCAATGTAGGAACATCAAATAGATTCACAATGATGCAATACAGAATTTATAAATGTGGAGCATTGTGTGTAGTTCTAGAGCCCATTGCAAGAAATATATTTGAAACATGGAAATGTTACAGAAAAAGTTAACTGGAATGATAGTAGGAATAAGATGGTATTGCTTGGATGAGAAACTAGATGTGAGACTTTTTAACTGTTGAATAGAATAGATTAAGAAAACCTATTCGAGTTCTTCAAGATTACATAAGTATTTGAGAGGATAAATTGTGAATGATTGTTTCTATTTTTTGAAGAATCAAAATTAAGAGGACTTAGAAATAATTCTCTTTCTAAGACAATGAAAGAGGAAGTTGGACATTTTCATTCAAAGTGTTATTTTAAAAAATTGAATACATTACGACAAAAGGATTTTTGAAGACATAAATTAAAATGTTACTGGATGAACATTTGAAAAGGAAATATATACATAAGGTAAGATTGCAGCATATTGTTCCTGAGCAAGATCCTCAATTAGAACTATGATTTGTCCAGGTGCCTTATGTTCTGAAAAGTTGGAACTTTGAGACAATGTATCTATCATGCATGAAAGATATTTTAGATTTCTAATATACATTTTGGAAGTAACAACATCATAGCAGAAGGATAATTAACTTCACAAACATTACTTGAATAGATAGACAGTTGGAATATTTTATTCAAAGACTTTTGTTATGTCTAATTTAACCACCATGACTTTTCCAAAACAAAAATTAATTATAAACAATGGGTCTAGGTAAAAGGACCTGAAAGAGAACAATTGTAGAAGAATTGTAGAAATTAAAAGTATATAAAGTTGCAAGATTCCTTAATTGTTTAAACCTACATACCAATGTATGTCTGACATTTTTGTCTTTTAAAAAAATAAATCAATGATATCTACACAATTTACCTAAATAGAATGGATTAATTTTTAGAGTCAACTAACCACAAATAGCTGTAATTAGACTCTGAGGGTGAATCAACAAACCATGTCTGAGATTTAGACTGCTTGAAAAGTTCCTTTAACCCTTCAGTGGATGCATCTAGACTTGATTAAAATGTCTTTACTGCTTGTAGAAGTATCATCAAATATATTCTAAAAGATTCTCAAGGGCTGTATTTAATGGGGTTTGCCACAGTGGGAAACATTCTGGCTGGGTCCATGATTGTGGGCAAAAGTGGCAGCCCAGTGGTGGCAAAACCTTCCCTGATTAAATCAGAGCATTTCAGGGCTTGACAGAGGATTTGCAGTCGCTGGCAGCATGCTGCCAGTTATGCTACTGGAAGAGACAACTGACATCCATAATCAGAGGGTCTGGCCACTGAGAACTATTCCCTGCTTTTTCTTCCAACTCCGCTCTCCAACCTGCGAACCTCACTGTACAACACGATCCTTGCTTCTATCACCTTTGATTAGGTATTCCCCTAATGATCCTGTTCCTTTGGTGGGCACATTACCACCAGCAGCTACCACGACCACTACTAGTGGTATGAGGAGCTATGGTCCATACCGGCAGCTCTCTGAGAGCAAGACATTAACTTCTGGGCCCTCAATCACAGGGAAGGCTTAAAGGTGACTACTTAAGTACCTGAGAAACATTTCAGTCTGTTGAATCTCCATCTCATAACAAGTGTTCCCTAATGCCTCTTTGACTGTTGGGCAAGACACCCACTGGCCTCAGAGTTTCTCAGACATTTCACACTTAAGGGAGCTGTTTTTAATTTGCTTCATATGATGTAAATTGAAAAGTAGTTTGTGCTGCAGTTATTACCTTTTAGAGACTGTCTATAGACTGAAGGTCAGAATTCCTCCAGGGTTCAGTTGGGTGTACATCACTTGTAGTTTACAAGTTGTGGTCCAATGATGTACGTTACAGCATGGGTGTAATTTTGAGGCACAATCAAGTGAGTTTGCATTTATATACTCCTCCCATTTGTAAGTAGTCCCTAAAATTCTGGTGGAGATGGTGGCTCAGTGATTAGCACTGCTGCCTCACAGCGCCAGGGACCTGGGTTCGATTCTACCCTCATGCAACCGTCTGTGTGGAGTTTGCACATTCGCCCAGTGTCTGCATGGGTGTCCTCCGGGTGCTCCAGTTTCCTCCCACAGTCCAAAGATGTGCAGGCGAGGTGGATTGGCCATGCTAAATTGCCCATAGTGTTCAGGAATTTGTAGACTGGGTGGGTTATAGGGGGATGGGTCTGGGTGGGATGCTCTGTGGGTTGGTGTGGACTAGTTGGGCCGGAGGGCCTGTTTCTACACTGTAGGGATTCTATGATGACCATACACAAAACAATCAGGTGTGGTTTGCCCATTTGAAAAGTACCCTACCCCAGAGTTGCCTTCCCCCACAAGCTCCATTTGTAGGCCAGCTCTGTGAGGGTGCCAGCCAATTTCATGTCCTCCCAAAATATGTTAATGAGTTTAAAATGTTTTGGACAGTATAATGACGAGAACAGGCAAGCAGAGGGGACATCACCAGTTGCCCCCACATGCTCTGCTTCAACTAATCAATCAAAATTAATACAATTTCTGATAGTTAAAATTATCATGATACTGCAAATGTTGATTTGAAAGTAGCACTGCTAAAAGTAAGCCTAAATAGATCACTAAAAATGTCAGGAACAGATAACTTAAGATTTCAGGTGTATTCCTTACCTGATGGAAGGGCTGCAGCGGAAATGTTAATCTATCTATTCTGTACAAATGCTGAATGAGTTATTAAGTGTTTCCATCATTTACAGATTTTTGCTTTTTATTTGAATTATTTGGTGGAGTGAACAGAAATACTTTATACTGATTGCTTTGTGTCATAACTCTGGATAAGCAGTTATTAATGCTTTTGTGCATGTTGAGGGTTCACTTTTGATAGAAACAAGGAGTCAATAAGACAGCTAGCACTTTGGTGACATTATAAGAATAAAATTTCAGTTTCAAACATTGATTTCATGCTATTTGCCTGAATGTAATTTAATCATTCTTTTCATTCACAAAGCAGTTTCCATTGAAGTGAAGCTGAAACTGCTATGCTTCAATAAAACCTGTTTTATATAACTTGTATCAATTTCTCGCCTCAGATTTCCAATGGAATTTATTCTAAATGTTGAAATAGACAGGAGGGGAAGCTAAAAGATTTACATTTTAATTGGTTTGCAAATCGCTTTCTATAAATCTGTTATGAAGTATATGCAGTACTATTATGGAGATTTTCCTATAATGGTGTTCTTTTAAAACAAAAGTATATAAGGGATGTGATTTCCCTTCAGGAAGCCTCATTTTACAGAACATGTTGTAACATTTTATGTGAAGGAATTTTACTGCAGTTTAAAGTTAATTGTTCCTTTGCATGCAACCTTGCGGTAAAAAACAGAAAGGAAGTCTGCATGGAGAGAACTTAATAAAGTACAGAGTTCCTGACTAGTACTGCATTTTCAAATTAGCTTAGGCGGAATAACATTGTACTTGGACGATTT